ATCTCATCTCATCTCATCTCATCTCATCTCATCTCATCTCATCTCATCTCATCTCTTCTCATCTCATATCGTCTCATCTCATATTCCTCTTTTCTTTTCTAATTTCTTCTCCAAATACTCTTGTTCTTTATACTCCTTTTCTTAATTCTTCCATTCTGATACTTTCCTGATTTTCAGCAACTCATTCGTTTCACCATAATTCACCTAGTCAGATCCTGTTTTTCCCATATTCTACATGAAATAGGATACACTGACTCTGATCTCACAATGCCTATCAATTATGCACCAATCTGAAGGATTAGAACAACATTTATTTTTCAACAGCCATGCTCATGACTCCGATTGTTTTGGCCTTATGGGCATTTTTTAAATATATTCTTTCCTTTTGTTCGGTTCATCGTATCAACATTTCACTATATTCATTTTATTCAAAATGTTTTAATCCTCTTCATTTACTGGTTGTCTCAAAGCTCTACTTACAAACGAAAAATGTGAATTCAATTTCGCTTTCCCCTTCACTAAAGCCCTCTATCAGCCATGCATCCGAAACTAGATGATCTTTGTTTCACGTCTTCTTTGGCATTTGGGACTACATATCGAATAGAATGCTGCAAGCTTGCTGAGACATGCATATTCAACCAGACTTGAGACGGATGCGTTTCGGTGAGGGACCCAGACGGTGCACAAAGGCATCGTCAAGTTGCTCCAAATTGACGAATGAATGAGCCAAGTGATTCGTGTCTACAGGGCCTGTTTGGTAGTGGTTAAGAGCCAACTTTCTGTGTGACAAATGAAAGTGTCTTTCATCTGATGATTGCGCAGAAAAGATGAAATCGCATTCTTCGACTGCCCACAAGCCCGGCGGTTTCGGACTGGGTTGCCGAGGCCTACTTACTGATTTTAAGCCTCTCATGTCTGCCCAAGGCTAAACATGTCGGTTGTCGGCCGGCAAGAACAATAATGGAACATGACGATCAAATTAAATGGGGTACGCAAGGGTCAGGAGGATGTGGTGCTTAGTTTGGTATCCGTCTCCTTCTGATGTTCAGGCTGAGCTTAACCGAATCTTCACAACTTTGCTGTGTCTGTAGAGGTACTTGCAAAAGGTTGCACTCATCGCGTCCTCTGCATTTGTTGACACATCTCTTTCCAGCTTCACACAATGAACTGGATACATTCTCCGACATTTCGTTGGTAGCATCAATCAGGAGCGTCAATCTTAGCAGAGGCAAGCTCGCGGCACTTTTTCCTCTTCCTTCAACCCCACTTCCTCTGGACACTTTTCCTGACTACACCTCTCTGTACCCTAATCAACGATTACCCATCCTGTCTGCAGGGCTTTCTGCTCAAAAGAGCTAATTCTACCCGGCCGTCCACATGACCAAACTTTTAGTAGTTGATCCCATTTGCTCTTGAAAAGCGATGTCTACAATGCGATAGTATGTGATGTGTGAAAATGCCTGGCCTTCTTTGGAATTCACATCTGCCATTTGACCCAAGGGCATTCGTGGCACTGTAGCAAAGTTTTTAACGCTGCTGTGTCATGGTTCGAGTCCCGCTGGGGGTGATGATAATACCCAGGCGAGGTTGAAGCTACAGTCAACTCTAGCCAGGATGAGAACTTCTTTTGTGAAAGCAGAGCTTTGTGAAATTCAATGGAAATATAAGGTCGATTCAGATACTAGTGAAAAAATTCAACTACCAGTCTCATAATCGCCTTATATAAAATGGGCTGTGCACATTTCATATATAAATGACCTACCGATAGTCTCGAAAACCTACTTATTAAAGAAATACAATTCCTCCATTTCGGACACTGTATGCCCAATCTTGTATAGGAGC